TAAAGCAAACTTTTGACAAATTGCCAAAGTTTTGTGGTCAACTTAATTTCTGCCTTTGACTGTTAATCTCCAATGGAACCGACAGAGATCTGGTGAAGGCAGGAAAACAGCAAACTTGTTGCTTAGGAACAGCAAGAAATAACCCTAACTTTTCTTGAAGCATCTGATCTTATCTCCCATGGTGCGCATAGTAGTGTGTGTGTGTGTGTGTGTGTGAGTGTGTGTGTGTGTGCGTGCGTGCATGCATGTGTGTCATGGGGGGTGGGGAGTCAGGTTTAGCAGAGGTTGTTTCTAGGCAACTGTTTTTTTTTTTCCTCCTCCTTTTAATATGAAACTTGTTTGTTTTTCTGTGTATTCCATCCTTTCCTATTCATTATCTCCCACTTTTTCTTTTTCCACAAATGTGATTTCTCATCATTTAGGCCGGGTTAACTGCTTATGTTGGTGTATGACCCAGTGTGGCTCTTTGATGACAAACCAACAACAAATACCAGTAAAGCCACTTTGTGCTGTTTGGAAAAACTCCCATTCATTATAAAATCATGTACACGCAGCTATTTCTGAGTACAGATCAGAGGTAACTGTGTCCTATGTAGACCTGGATGGAATCTTCAACTCTAATTTTTTTCCCATTGTATCTATTAGTCTCTTTAGTCGACACAACCGTGCTGGGGTTTTGTGCAATAATGGTTTCGCTTCAGTGTACTGCTGTTCTGCCGCATCCAGCTTTTCCCACACACATGCCTGCACCAGGCACGAACTGATGTTTGAATATCTGACCTATAACAGCTGCTGGCTGGCTGGCTCCTGAATATTGCCTCAGATCGCAGCGGTTCATTAAATTATAAGCTGAGCTGTGGGAAAGTAAACAAACAAATAAAGAAACCTCTTCTTCATCAGGCTTTTAAGCAACAGAAAACCTGTGTTGCTGGGTTGTAGGGATGACATACATGTGTCATGCAGCACTTTGAAATGTCATCCTGTGACCCTGTTATCCTTATGATTTTAATTAAACTTGCATTTGTGAGTCTGTGTGTGTGTGTGTGTGTGTGAACCTTAATTCAAGCTATTTGTCCAGCTTCACAAGATGCCTTTTACATAAAATGTCTCCATTTCACCCTGTATTATAAATGAGTAAAGAACTGCACAGTTCATATAAGGTAATTAAACACTAATTTATTTCAGTGCTGTTTAGCATAGAAACCACACGCCCAGCAGAGTGCTACTGTATTTTTTTCATACTCATACACTTTGACAGAACAGCCAGAGCAGCAACTAATTACAACGTGTCCTCCCTACACCTCCACACATACACACACCACCATTGTAATGATGTCTTTCACCTCTTTGATCCACGTTTTAATTGGCTATATGTGCAATGTTTAATTATGGATTTCAAATTGGATGTTTCAGGTGGAAACATGTGGCCGTTTCTGTGTTTTGTCATTGTCTAATTAAAAACCTCTTCCTCAGATAACATGATCTGCACATCACCCAAACACACTCAGGGTGTACTCGAATGGCAGGTTTGCCTGCAGAATCCCTGTAATTATCCCAGGCTGTCCTGTGCCCTCATGATCGAGAAGTCAGTTCATAAAATCGCTTTTATGAACCTCACTCAGTGTTGATGGACTCCTATGGCATGAACTGTACTGACCCAGCCAATGTAAGTTAATTTCATTGCAAACAGTGTAACTAAAAGTAACTGATGCTGCTTGACTTCTTCCTCTGATGTGCCTTCAGTGTAATAGAACCAGATCTATGTTATTAAGCTGTTTTTGTGTTTTATTCTTTTATACGATTGCTTTTTTTGGTGTCGACAATACTTTCCACCTTGTCTGTCCTTGATCACGTTTCTAGTATTTCTAGGTTCATTAATTGTGTGTACACCAGGGAAAACAGCAGAAACAAAGCCAGGACTTTATAGTGCTATCCTTGGCTAAATCAGTATGTTGTATTTTATAAAAACCCATTAGAATGGTGTAGATTACCCATTAGGTGTCAAAAAAGTTTTTTAAGGCTCCTATGAAATACATTTTTTATGTTATTTGTCCCCTCTCTGGACATTTCAGCTTACACTAGTATAGCAAAAAATACAAATACAAAATCCCAGCCAATAAATGAGTTCACCTTTTTCTTCTAAGTGATAACCTCTTGGTTTACACTTTCGAGTGATTCCTTTGTGTGTTGTGTCCCACTCCAGAATCCAGTTTCAGCAGGGGAATACGTCTAATTAAAGAAGCACAATGCTGTTTCATGGGGACTTTAATTGTGGCACCAGTCTGACGTCAGGTCACTAGAGTCTATTTCGAAGCAATATCCCAGAACAAGTGTGTTAAGGAATAAGACACTGGCCTAATTTTAATACAGAAAAAAAAAGATGGTATATTCAGTTTTGACGGTTTTGAATAAAGAAACAAAACTAAAGATGTCAGACTTGCATGTTTTGACAGAGAAGCAAACTTCTGTAGTGCCTCACATAGTTTTAGTTTTGTTGCAGAATGTCACAGTTTCTTGTTTCTTTTTTTCTCAAATTTAATTTTCCCTCGACAGACATCAAAGTTAAAACCCCCAGATATCAATCTTTCCTACAGTGAGATAGTGCCATCTGTTGGACGGTTAATCTAACTACACAGTTAGTAAATTGATTTCCAGCTGAAATAATTAGTCACATATTCAATTTTGATTCCTCTGTGCCAACGTCAATATGAGAAGGCTGCAGTAACTATATTACCACTATACTTTCAGAATTTTTGCACATGAATTCTACACACGGCGAATTTAAGAAGAAAACTAAAGTACAAAACAGGAAGGTCGGAGCTCATTTGCAGCATCTAGGTAGAAAAAACTAAATAAATATGAGCGTCTATTCACCTGCTCTCCGTTGCTTTCCATCGTCTCCAAGGCAGCTGGCTATTTTCCATCGCACAAACATGTTTAGACAAGAAGTCAAATGTCATATTCCCCAAGTCACCCGAGCACATGGTTCCTCCCCAGTGAGTGAGTAAGCACAAAATACACCTCATTAGGCTGCTATAAGAGGGCAGAAAGTCAGTCATTGTTATTATTTTATTTTACTGCTCAGGATAAAGCGGCTTTAATTAAATGTCAAACCTGAACACTGAACTGACACTAATGTGAACTGGCTAATTAAAAATAACAAGTCAGATTTTTTTGCTTCTTTAATTGAAAACAGTAAACTCCTCTCCACTCACAAACGTGTTCTGCAGGTGGACGTTGAGTCGCACCCACTGTGCACAATGACCTGTGTTCGATGTCTGACATGAAGATAATGATGCCAGTTTGGAGGCAAATTTTCGGTCCACTATGCAATTTACACAAGTTTGTTGCTGAAAACCCGAAACTGTCAGTGTCCACATACTGGTATGAACTCGGTAGAAAGGAGATATCTTTGCATCTAGCAGTTAAATTGTTGAAAGGAAGGATACTTGCATACAAATCTTTATTCTTTCCTTTTACTGAGGAAGTACAAACTGATGTAAGATTTTTTTTTTTAACAAAGTAATTGACCTGTTGTGCAGAAAAAAAAAAACTTTTTAGACCAATTAAGGCAAAAGAGAGAGAATACTGGGCTTACAGTACAGAACGGAAGTGAGTACACCCCTGTGCAAGATCACCTAAATGTCAAATGAGTCATGACCTACCAGTAATAGCACTCCTTCTTTGTTGAACAGTAGGGTATTTGCGAAACACATCTCCTACACTAGAAAGTCAATGCAACAGTACACCTTTTCAATATTTGCATTCAAATCTTTTACTTTTTCAGTATTTTGTATGTCTACTATTATTTTTAATGAAAGACTCAAGCCTCCTCAGCATCAGAGACATTTCCTTCAGCTGCTGGAGGGGTTGTGTTGCTTTACCTTTCTCTTTAAAATACTCCAGAGGTGTTATATTGGATTCAAGTCAGATGCCGTACTTGGTCAGGTTGTAGTTTTCGCTTCTTCAGAAACTCTTGTGGTGATTTTGGCAGTGTGCTTTAGATCATTATCACGCTGGAATATTCCTCTTTTGCCAAGCTTCAGCAGACAGGAAGTCATGTGGTCAGCTGGTATCATGGTAGATCCACAGGAATTCATAATCTACTAATATAATATCCACAACACTGTTTGTACTCACACAACCCCATATCATCACACTCCCACGTCTATGCTTCACTTTCAGGACTATGCATTTATTGTGGTAGCACTGTCGGACCTGTCAAAGACACTGTAATTTCCTTTTTTACTTCTCTAAATTGTACAAGTATCTCCCTATCTATGGTGTCATTGTGGTACTATTACTTCTTCTATACCTTAAGATTGCTGCAGTAAAAACTAAGGACGTTCTGGAGTTCACAGGTCATTTTATAACCATGTTTATTCAATTATACTGATTTGGAATCACAGGTGAACTCAGTTTTGTTTCTGTGATCACAGGGTTTCCTTGTGTGTCAACGACCACAGGTGTATTTAGCTTTGTTGCATTGACTTTCTATTTTGAAAACTTTTCTTTCATTAGAGTATTTCTAGAGTACGTTTTTGATGATTCAGAAGAGGAAATTCCCTATTTGTCAACTTTGACATGTTGCACTTAGTGAGAGGTGATTCAATTTTGAATCATTTGACATTTAAGTAATTGCCCAAGCGTATATTTACTTCTATAATTTAGTATATTTTCATCAGATGGACGATACTTCAAATGACTGATAACGTTGCTGTTACTGCTCGATTTGTAAATGAGCAACTATCTCCTATTAAGTTCACCAAAACTGCCTCAAGTAGCCACAAAAATAGTTTTTGCACGTTTCAGTTTAAATGTTAAAAATAAAAGCACGCAGTAAAGCTGAAATTGCTATATGTGGGGAAATTGCTTTTTTAAAAAAATACTTAATTTTTTTTTTTTAAGTCGTGTTGCTAAAACCTTATAAGGACGCAATCACAGGTAGTCTGAGGTGCAGGTGGCAGGTGCGGCTGCGCAAGCGTCTCTCTCTCAGAGGGCGGGGCGACCGTATCACGTGACCAGCGTGGCCGCCATGGGACTGCTGAGACCGGCAGTGTTGTTGGGTCTGCTGGGGAGCAGAGGAGTAATAAGAAGTATGGTAAGTACACGGAGAATAATACAGATAAAACTTCTGGTTAATATGTGCAGTCGTCTAAACATTAATATGTCCGCTGCTGCCTGTGTGCCGGACAGCATGTAGGTCAAATTTAGAACGTCTATTTTTATTTGCGGTGCAACGGACAAATGGGTCCGGCGTTGATGCTAACGCTAGCTTCGTGTGAAACCCCTCCGGGAATATTAGCCGCACTTGAGCGTCTGTTAGCGGTCCCAGAGTTAGATTTAATTAACGGTTTGCCCCCTCTAGCTACACCCAGCATCCGCAAATCCAATTCATTGAGTTTTCCTTAATGATAACGTGACTCTGTGTCGTTAGCCGTTCCAATGGGGTTAAATGAGCTAACAGTCCGCGGTAATAATAAACACGCTAAGTTAATTAACGCCAGAGAGATTTTCGGTTTATGTGTAATCCTTTTTATTTCGTCGTTTCTAGTCAATGCGATTAATGCTACAGTTTGACGTTAATGCTGGCTGCCAAATGTTTGCTTTTAATCTGCTTTATTCTGTCCCTGGTTTGAGACAGACAGACGTGCATGCAGGTAGTAGTGCAGTGAAGAAACGGTCTGACCACCACGTTTGCTGAATTATTCTACATGCAGAAGAAGGAAATGAGTTAATTGATCTTTGGCGCACTTGTAGGCTCATAGTCCGTATTGCTAAGAGTTCAAACAGGTCTCCAGAAGCAACTTAACACTGTTGCAATAATTTATATTAAAGTCTTAACCCTACCCCATGAGCATAACAGACCCACCAAGGTATTATAATGTCCTGATTCTCCCCTGCCTTGTCATGTTTACATCAACCCCTCATACAATCTCTGCTCAGCCTGTCTTGTGTACTAAACACTGTGTGCACCATCTCTTCTGAGCAGGTGAAATCGCTCAGTGTGGGCTTACAAAACAATCTTATCAAAGCTGTCTTGCGTAAACGCTTGGTTTAAATGGCCTAAATCTCCATAGACTTGATTATATTTTTCTGACACTAGCTGTGAGGTTTTCAGCCTAAACCAGTTCTGTGTGGAAACTCACGGGTGTGGACATGATGATGACACATTTGGGCCAAAGCATTAAGAGCTGTGGTTAGCTTCCTTGCCTTACAACTTGTTTATATGATTCATCCTGTTCTTGACTGTTGCCCTTTGAGCTGCTTTTCTGCACTTCATCCCTGATGACCTTTATCCTTAGTTGTTACTTATTGACACTCTCACCACATGTAATTTTTGTTCCTCACCTCCCATGTAGTGTGCTCAGGTGGGAGACTGGCAGAGTGCCAAGTCCATTTATGAATTCTCTGCCAAGGACATCGATGGAAATGAGGTGTCTCTTGAGCAATACAGGTGAAATATATTTATTTTCATTCATTCATCTCGCCAATATCAATACGAAACAATTGACCGTAATCATTTAACCTCATCTTTGTTCTGTTTTTTTTTTTTTTCCTGCCAGGGGTTACGTCTGCATCATTGTAAATGTAGCGTCTAAATGAGGAAAGACCAGAGTAAACTACACTCAGCTAGCGGGAATGCACGCCTCCTACGCTGAGAAGGGTTTACGCATCCTGGGCTTCCCATGCAACCAGTTTGGAGGACAGGTAATGTGAATAAAGTCTTCAAGCCTCTCTGGAGTGGTTGTAATAGTTACACCCATTGAAGTTTCATGTAGCAGTGTTTTTCTGTAAAGAGAAGACTCTAACTTTGCGTTGGTTCATCCCACTAAACCTTGATTAAAGCTTGGTAGTGGACACTCTCTCGTCATGTTCTTACCAGGCATGCTGTAGTGATTGCCAATCAGCATCTGGGACAGTCTACTGTAGAAATCAAACTCAATACAGTGCTTTATCAAAAAAAAAATGTTGTCGGTGTTTTCATAAATACAACATATAAGCCTTTCCTCTGTCTCACTGTTCTTTTTGAGTCAAGTAGGCTGACAGAATAGCAGCTATTTCAATATTTGTTTTTTGCACTCTTTCACTAGCATGTTAGCTGGAGTCTTGCATAGTTTCGATTCAGTGTGGTTGTATGTCTACCATGAAAAGCTAACATTTCCAATTGTCCAACTTTTTTTTTTTGTGTGGTCCAGGAGCCAGGTACGGAAGCAGAGATAAAAGAATTTGCCAAAGGTTACAATGCCGAGTTCGATCTCTTCAGCAAGATAGAGGTGAACGGAGACAACGCTCACCCTCTGTGGAAGTGGATGAAGGCACAGCCCAAAGGCAAGGGAACCCTGGGAAAGTGAGTTACTGTTCAGTTCTTCTGTTTACTTAACACAACGTTTCATGAGTACAGAAAACAGCTTTTAGCAAAACTGAATTTAACACTAAGAGGGGATTTTGCTCTATAGATGCTCTGTTCTATGAATTAGTTTTGTTTACAGTATTTGTTTATCGTTGTTGATAATCGTACATCATTGTTGATCTAAATTCATCTGTTTTATGTGTATGTATGGAGTGTGCATTTAGATTTGTCCATGTCCTCTTGCAAGAAAAACATTGTAGTTTAGGAATACAATATTTGACATGATTGCTCATATTCATAGTTACGGTTGTCTTTTTTTTTTTTTTCATATATTTCACTTTTACTTTATGGAGATGTTTAGTTTTCTACAGCTGGTAGTCCCTTCATACTCGCATATTTCAGCAATGAATTATGTGATTAGGATTTTGGTTTAAAATAAATAAAAGTAAAATGTTTCCCATAAAACTGTAGTGCATCATTTTCTTATCATTTCTGAAAAGTCAACTTTGTTCAGTTAAAGATGACACAGTGTTCTAATCTGGTGAGGCATTAGGCTGCCATGACATCATTCTGGCCTGGAACGGGAACGCGACATGTGACACACATCCTGTTGCATTTTCGTTACTTCATCCCACTACCTTCTTCCTCTTCGCTTCTGTTTCGCTTTGGTTGAGCTTGAAGAATGTTTCACAAGCTTTGCAGCATTTGAATCATTTCACTGCTCAAATGCTGCAATATTAATGCCATCTGCACTTTGCTGCGCTGTAAAGCAAGTACCGTTAATAATCTACCTGTCAACTCAACTGGAAAAGTCCAAACTATATGCATCTGTGGAGACTTCTTGCCATCTTGATTCTGTGTATCTTTTGAGTATCAAACATTCCCTCTTAAAAAACTTAAAGGTCATGTGACTGGACAAAAGCAAAAAGCGATACTCACACCTGCTTGACAGCTGAGGCAGAAGCAGTACATTTCGCCTTTTTTTCTTTTTGGTCTAAAGAGGAGTGATATATATACTGAGCATACAAATGAATAGCAGAGGAGTAGCTTTTGCTGTGTGCTGAGAAAGTTGTTCTATGAATCAGTCATCTGGGAAACTGCTCGCCACTGTGAATTCAAACCCATGAATGAAACAGCAGTGTTGGTGCTAATGCCTGCAGGTTGTGTTGTAACACATTTTCTTTCCTCTTTCCACAGCAACATCAAATGGAACTTCACAAAGGTAATTTTCCAACACAGTTGGCACGGCCTCCTTTCAGAACCATTTTCTGTCACATTTTGTTCAGTTTTCTTGCTACAGTGGAATCGGAAATAAATGTTGTAATATTTTGATTCCCTCAACAGTTTCTTATAAATAGAGAGGGACAAGTGGTGAAGAGATACGGCCCAACAGATGATCCCAGTGTAAGCCACACTCACTATGTGTTTAATAAGATTTCTGTGCATGTTGTGATGTTGATGCGTTTCACTTATTTGATATATATTGTAATCTTGCTATAGAGTGAAAGACAGCTGTAGTAAAAACAAGATTCAAAGGATAGAGGGTAGGGTAATAGTCTGTCATTCATTTATTCATGTTGTGTTAAGCTTTGTTTAAATTCTCTTTGCAGGTGGTGGAGAAGGACCTGCCCACATACCTGTAATGCCGCTGTCTTTGTTGGACTCCTAACCTCTCCCGTGGACTTCAGGGCGTGTGTGTGTGTGTGCACCTGGACCAGTGACGGCCCGTCTGTAAACCCAGCACTGGGAAGGGCAGGGCCTGATGATCTTCTGCGTGCAACTTATCTCCAGAGCGCACTCACACCAAACCCTGTCCGACCACAGGAGAGAACGCTCACTAGTTATCTAAAGTAGAGACACTGAACACCATACTTCACTTTGAACAGCCATTCCTTTTGCTAATACAAATACCATGCCGTCCTTTCTGAATGTTAAGTGACAGGTTTGCTCACGTATCAAGGTCAGCTTTGTGCAAAAACATAAAATGCCATAGATTTCACTGATTTCTGGAAACTACTGAAAACATTGTTTGTGCTTAACTTGCCAAAAGGCCCATTATTGTATTTGAAAGTGATGACTTGTGTGATGAAATTGGAAAATAAATACTGGCGTGGATGTTAATGTGTCAATTTCTGTTCTCCTACCTATATGACAAGAGTTAGATTAGTTTAGTAATTCAATGGTAGTAATGCTCACCTGCTGGCTGTATGAATACTTACCAGTTTATTTTAATATTCTACATTTTTCTTCAAAGATGTTTTTGGTTTAGATGTTTTACCTTACAAATCTCTTATTTACCCAATTTGTTTTTCATTAACTATGGATATATATGAATAAAGATATTTGACATTTTAGCTGAATATATGCAATACTTTTCGAGATTAACTTTTTTTAAAAAACTGCCCATTGATCCACTTGTGACACATTTTTTAGGCAGTGAAATTTAAGATTGAGTTTGAATGCCAATATCAGGAACCATCAAAGACACAGTTTAGATATTTTTTCACTTATTTCTTATGGCATAATGAATCGCATGACAACAGTAAAGATTTTAGGCTAATTTTATCATTAAAAGTGGGTCAACGGGCAGTTTAAAAAAAAAAAAAGTATCTCAAAGGGTTTCATATATAAAGTTTAAATTCCACATGTAATTTTAAATATCCATAGTTTATAATAAAAAAAGGTTTTAAGCAAATCAAATGGTTGAGCAGAAAACAGATGATTTGAGATGGAATGACCCAGCAACTGGCTGCACCTGTGTTGAATTAGATGAGTCATTTTAAATGGGGTGAATACTTATGCATTCACTTGTTTTACATTTAACATATTTAATTAATTGACATCACTTTGTGGAAATCTTTTCACTTTGACATGAAAGAGTCTTTTTTTTGGGCAAATTCTTACCCCCCAAAAAGCCTAATTGACCACAATTCAATGTCGAAAAGCAATAAAAAAGGGAAATCACTCTTTATCACCGCTGTATATGAAACATAAAATAATACACAGAATAAAAAAGCAGAGGGCCCTCAGTAGAGGGACATAGTTGCCCTGCCAGCCATGATTGCACTGAGCCACAGAAAACCACTATTCCGTCCAACTTACCACAAAACAGGTGTTTTCTTTCACTAATCACGGTTGGCTGGTTGTCCAAGGTGAGATGGGTACCATCCCCGTATACATTACATGTTATTTAAAATATAATCGCAATACCAACATTTTTTTAAAACTTGGGTTTGACCTTTAACTATCACTGAAGGTCAAATGTCACATCCCCAGTGGGATGTCTATATATATGGCCTCTGATACAAACAATGCCTCTATGTTTTCAAGTTATAGTGCAGTCAAAATGTATGACTTTGAGTTCAACCTTGAAATATCATCCAAGGTCAAATGTAACATCACCAATGGAAAGCCCCAACATGGTTGCTAATCTGCACCAAATACCATAAATATACTTTGCACCATTTCGAAGGTATATGGCATTTTTGAAAACGTGACCTCTGACCTCTAGTGGAGCTGCTTTTGCACTGATTGACCCCAAAATGTAATTCTTCCCTGGTGAGGCCATTCCTAGCTCACCTGTAAAATATCAACTTGTTAGACCTTAACACTGCTGGAGATCGTTAGATAGATAGATAGATAGATAGATAGATAGATAGATAGATAGATAGATAGATAGATAGATAGATAGATAGATAGATAGATAGATAGATGTACCCTATTGTCATTCAGTTAGTACATTAAAAGAAATTAAAATGCACTTAGACCGAAATTACAATCACAGGTCACAGACACAATAAAAAAACCCAGAAAAACCTAGAAGTGATAAAAGGCAAAGACGGGAACCAAGTAAATCAAATTAGAAACCGTTTTAGATTGCACTACGGGCCTAAGAAAAATAAATGATAAAAAACTAAATACAGTTCCAGGATGATGACAATAATAATAAAAAATAGAGGATGTAGAGAATCCTTGGGTTTGTTGAGTTTTGTTGGTTCATAACCTGAGAACACTGTCAACACTTATCCCAAATATTTAAATTAACTTGATTAATCTCCATAATCAATACTACTGTAGCGTCTAATATTTATTATAGTCAGGTGAAGTTGTTTTTATATAATTTTTGTGGGGTTTTAATGGTTAATATTCAAATAACTCAGGTCATTAACATCATAATCCTATTTTTGTATTGGAAAAGCCATTTGAACAACAGCTGCTCCTCCATATATTCTCTATAAATAACGGTGGCTTGACTTTTTTAAACATAACCCTAACATGTGAGGGTCTATCTGGTCCCAGATAACTTAGGCTTACATACCTTGTTTTCGTCTGGTGGAGTCTTTGAGTGCAAGGTACTGTTGCCGATTTTGTTTAGCTGAAAAAGATGACTTCCAAACAGAATTCTCTGAAGATTCTCCCAAAATAGTGTTGCGCTCCAAAGACACCTACACTGCTCACTGTCAAGGAATGGCTGGTAATCCATGGCTTCCTTATGTGTTTGGTGAGAAGTTCATGCTTATTGAATTCACTGACATATTTTCACATAACTGAGAACTTCA